GTCGGTTCCTCAGCTCATCTGCCAGAAAAGCATACTCTTTCTTGGATTTCAGCATTTAGGGTGGTATTTCTTTAAATACTGCAACTTCTTGTCCTGCCACTTGCAACTTATTTTTATAGGCAGCTTGTAAAATTTCATTTCTAATCCTTCTAGTGACAAAATAAATCACAACATCTCTTGGTAGTTTCCTTTGTCTAGCTACCCATGAATTAACACGATAGATCTGATCCATTTGCCATTCGAGTTCACCTCTGGGCACTCCTATAAATTGTGCCAGAGCATCTTCAAAGATCTCTTTCAAATTTTCCTTCGGATTTTCTTTCAAGCCTCTTATTCTCACGGCAAATTCCATCATCTTATATTGTGTCAACAACATTTCAGCTTCTGCTTTGTCAATCTTAGTTTGTGATTCCTCAACTTTACCATCTAAAATCTCATTAGCTTGAGCAACCTCATCAATTCTATCTTCTACGTGACTAACATGTTTTGCCAGTCCCTGGAGTTCAAAGACTATATCTTCCCTTATATGTTGATTTCTTGTCTTAATTATGTCCTTCATTTCTTCCATTTGATCTGAGACTCCTTTAAATGCAAATGCAATGCCCTCTTTAAAACCTTCTTTGGAAGTCTACAAGTCTTAAAGTTGCCAAGGTTGGAGACCCCTGTTCTATTGGGTAAGTTTTTTTCCCCTTTGGGAGCTTTAAAAAAAATAGTTAATTGGGTTTTTTTTTAGTTGTTCTTTTTTAGACTTAGCCATTTAAAGTTTAAGAAGTTTTAAATTTAGCTTTCATATAAAAATAAAAATAAAAATAAAATAAAATAAAATAATATTTGTGCAGCTTTCTGAGATTTAGTGTGTTTCTGTAGTGTTTCACTCTAACTACACAAACACACAAAATCTCACAAAGATGTATGTGGAATTTTGTGTGTGTAAAGCGTGAAAGTTGGGGTTTTGGGCTTTTTGTGGCTGTGTGAGGTTCCTGCTTGTTGCAGGGGCCATTTTGGGTCTAGCACAGCTGCTTTTAGATTGTGGGTAAGCCAGTTGATGTTTTTTTAATTTTTATTTGGTGTGCATTGGAAGAGGGATAGTCTTATACGGCAAGTATAGTCCAAACCCTATATTTTAACAGGAAAAGTCGGGGGTCGTCTTATATGCCCAGTCGTTTTATACGCCGGAAAATATGGTAAGGTGTAAATCAACTAAACAAATTTACATAAACCAAACTTTCAATGTTAGTCTACAGCACAAACACAATGGCTAAAATTAATACTGGAAAAAACAATGGAAAAAGTTCTAACTTTGAAATGTATATAATACATATTAAATAATTATTATTCCTAGGATATTCATGTTGTAGCATTACTAGGCAACAGAGGATAACTATCATGTGGATTGTTCATTTCACTCTGTGACCTCTTCCATAACAATTTTATTTCTTTTCCTCCCCTCTCCCTTCCTTTAGGAGACAGTCAGAATTAATGGGCAGACATTCATTCTCAAATATGATTTATCTTTTCGTCATTTGCAAAATTTGTCATTTCTCATTTCAGTAAGGAAGTGCAAGAGATCCTACATTGTCACTGTACTATTAGTCATCTGTATCTGAATGAATTATATGGGAAGACAGGTACAATCAAGATCTTATAAAAACTCCATATCTATTTTTTTATTATTGCTATTTAAAAGAGAGAAGAGATTTTCAAAAAAGGTAATATCTATAAATGAAGCGATAACTACAGAAGTCACACAGCTAATGCTCAATATAACATTAATAAAAGAATCCAATAGAGTACACTGAACTTCTTTCATGATACAAAAAATATATTTTTTTGAGTTTAACCTCAAAATCTCTACTATATCATTAATTATAAATGTTGAAAAAGAATACAACAATAAATACAATATAAATGTTTGATTCATAACTTCCCCTTCTTTATACTCCAACTGATTGGCAGGAATTATTGGCATAACTTGAGAAACCAGATTCTATTTGTATTTATCTTACTGCATAATATATAATATAAAAGTAGTCCTTGTTTAGCGTTCACTCATTCAGTAACTGCTTGAAATTATGACAGTCCTGAACAAGGGAACTTATGACATGTCCTTGAAGTTGCAGTCATCAGAGCATACCTATGGTCATGGGATCATGATTTGGGAGCTTGGCAACTGATACAAAATTGTAACAGTCACTGTCATATCACTGCTGTTGTAATGTCATAAGTAATTATGAGCTGGAATAGACATGGCAACAGGCCAGCCAATGTGGACTGTTTGAATAGACATGGTAACAGGTCAGCCAATGAGGACTGTTTGGAAACTGAAACATAGTATTTGTTTGTATGGGACCATAAGAGACAGTTTGGAGTCTGGGCGTGGCTTAGACTTGCTGAACTGTATATAGGAGTTGGCTTAGCCTCTGTACAATATATTACCCTCTGTATCTCTCTATTCTGTAATGACTTGCTTCTATGAATATTGCTTCTGTGTTCCTGATTTGAATGCTGAATTCTGCTGTATGGTATTGTATATAAAGAAGTTTCTTATATATAATTGAATCCTGCTGAAGTTCATTTACTTGTGTGCTTGTCAGATGGGCTGCAACAAACTCTGACAATTGCCATTTGTGACATTCATTGCCGGCTTCTGACAAAGTTAATGGGAAAGCTGACAAGGTCATAAGAGGCAGTCATGTGTCATCTCACTTTACTACATGGGATTCACTTAATGATTGCAACTTGAACTGCCAGAATTGCAGTCATAAATCAGCACAATGCCAGCCTAAATAGACAAGACAAAAAGCACAAGATGAGCTAATTCTACTTTATTGTAAGGCTACATTAACAGAAGTTTACAAGTCTGAAAGTATAAAACTCTCCTATCTCTTTTTACCACCTGATAAGTTAGGTTGGATCCTTTCTAAGTTTCTTTCTCTGCTTGTTACTCAGTTACAGGCTGCTCCCTCTTCAATCTGATCTTTCCCTAGGCAATCTCTCCTGCCTTCCAAGGTCATTCTCACATTCCATTGTAGCAGTCACATGATTATCCACTTTACAACTGCATTGCCTTGTGACAGAGTACCAGTCCCAGTTAGTCCCCAAAACTTAAGAATGTATATGGAAGCCATTCCTGCTCAAATTTAATTAAATTTCTGTTATGCATATGTGCAATATGCAAACTTCTTTGTGGCTGTAAGCATACTTTATAAATAATGGTATTTTAACTGATACGATCTGGAAATATACTTAATTTAAAACATTGTTTTAACTAGGCACAATTCCTTTCTATTTTTATTTCTAAGATTCTTTGAATAGTGTCGTGTATATCTTTGCAATAGGTTGGGGTTTTTCTGCAAGTCCACCACATATAGTATATAGAATGTTCCTTTTATCTCATGGCATTTCCAGGCAAATGATAGTTTGGAGTAATTTTTATAGATATGTTCCACAGTTCTTCTCATAGATATGTTGGCATTGTTTCTTTAGAGTTTTCATCCAATTTATCATACATGCTTTTTCTCTCTCTCTCATATATATATATATATATATATATATATATATCTCCCAGATAGCAACACAGAGTTGCAGTTTGTCAGCAGAAAAAAGGCCCAGAAACTTGTGAATGAGATTTCACAGAACCAGGGCTGTAGAACAACTTAGTTTACATAGGTAAAACCTGGCTAGAAAGAATATGCATATATATATATATATGGCCTAATTGACAAAAATTCTGCCATTTTTCTTAATGTTTCGCCTCCGTATACATTGAAGCAGTTCAAATCAAATTTTAGTGATATCACAGGTGGCCAGAAGCATGTCCTTCCTTTGTTTTGAAATAGAACGATGAAAAGTATAGACCTGAATGTGGATTTGTTTATGTAAACTAATGGCTTGAATTAAGACCTCATCTTATTGGAACCAACCCAATAAAACAAGGTCTTAATTCAAACCAGTAGTTTGTCTGATAACCAGTAGTTTGCCTGATAGTTATAGACAAATTTGACTCTTCATAAAAACAAGCCTTAAATGGACGTGTCCGGAAGCGAGGAAGCTTTGGAAAAAAATACAAAAATGGATCCAAGAAATATTACATGAGGATATTAATTTTCTGCCGTAAATCTATCTCCTGGGAGTGCTAAAACAAACATTTGGTAAGGACAAGAAATATTTGATTATTCATATTGTCACAGCTGCTAGACTCTCCTATGCTAGATATTGGAAAGAGAAAAGAGGACCAACTGAGGAACAGATAGTCAATAAGATACTTGACTGCGCAGAAATGTGCAGATTAACGTATGTATTAAATGGAAAGGAGGAGTCAGAATTTTACACGATCTGGGATTTGTGGTATAGGTGGTTGGAAATTAAATGCAAAAGTTAATACTCATGAGGAACAATGCACAACTATTAGTTAATCCTATATATTATCATATCTTAATTAAACAGTAATTAATTTCATATATAAGAATTTTTGTATAAATTGTATAATTAATTAGACAATTGATTAGACACCGCACTTGTAAATATACAATATGACTACACGTTGCCGAACCGTATAGTTTGAATTGTAATATATTCTTAATTCAATAAAATTTCATTAAAAAAAAATATTTGCTAATTCTCTTAAATATTGCGCACTTCAGAGCTAGCAATATTTGATGCTCTCTCATCAGCTGTCTTATAAAGAAGGTATGACAAAATACTACAGATTTAATGTAAGTGGCTTGTGGTATGGGTACTATGTTTACCACAATACTCTGACTAAATATAATAACATGGCGAAGGTTTCCAAAATGCTCAGACCCCTCTGCCTAAATATGTCTCAAAAGGTATAACATACAGATGAGTTATTATATAAATCAGGCATGAAGACAATAATTTGCTCCTCTTCCTGAATTAACCACAGTATTTTTAAATAACTATTTACTGACCATTCTTCCTAGTATAGGAATATTGCTTTAGAATTGATAAAAAGCAACAGATATCAAGACGGAGCTTACCTATCAGTCCTGGAACATGTTTGCCTTTGAAACTAAAGCAGGCAGTGATATTCAGACAATTCACTTGTTGTAAGCCATCATGACACTGAGGAGCTGTGATGTCAATGGATGCTGGCAGGAATATTGAAATATCCAAGGTAATGACAGGCCGTGATCTTAAAACAATAAGAAAAAAGAGACACTACATTATTTTCCATAGATCTTTTTAAGTTTAGGGGAAAGTGGCTCCTATCTAATTAACTAAGAGAACTCTTAGTTAAACTTTCTTAGAATATTAGCTTTAATACTAGTACTGGAAATAATCAGTTATTCCCCACATATCCCAACCCTAAAACAAATACCTTTCCTATAATAATTAAAAGAGAAGGAGGGGGAGGGGAGAGGACAGGACAGGACTTTGGATACACCAGTAACATTAAGATGCATTACTGGAATAAAAATAATCAAATAATGCAATGACCTTTTCTATTAGATATTTAATAATTATAGGTGAAAGGTAAGGGTAAAGGAGCCCCTCTGGATTTTACTCCACTAGTTGTTGTTGACTATAGATTTATTATTTATTTATTTATTTATTTATTTATTTATTTATTTATTTATTTATTTAATTATTTAATTAATTAATTAATTTGTATACCGCCCTTCTCCCAGAAGGGACTCAGGGCGGTGAACAGCCAAAATTAAAAAACATACAAATGCAAAAGTTAAGATAATTAAAAGTTGGTGGTGCTCATTGCCATTTCAAGACCATTGAGCCAGCACTGCCAAAGACATTTCTGGGTCATGTGGCCAGCATGATATCTTGGAGCATTATCTTCCCACAGAAGTGGTACCCATTTACCTACTCACATTTGCATGCTTTCGAACTCCTAGGTGGCAGGAGCTGGGGCATGGACTGGAGCTCACCCTGTCGCATGGTACTTGGGTCTCAAATGTGTGCTGCTGGCCAACAATTCCAGCATCTTAACCATTGAGCCATACCTCCCAGTAAGTATATTTTTATGACAAAAATTTTAGGACAAATGAAAAAATACCAATATGGAAACATAGTTCATGCTAGCCAAATAAAATCTGGATCTAGAAGCCCTAAGACTTAAATTAGGCTAAAACATATGAAGAACGGTTACAGGAATTGTGTATGTATAGTCTAATGGAAAAAAAGGACTAGGAGTGTCATGCTAGCAGTATTCCAGTATCTAATATCTACCACAAAGAAGAGGGGGTGAACCTATTCTCCATTATTCGCACCTGAAGGAAGAACAAGAAGCAATGGATGAAAACTGACTTCCGGTTTGGCGTCGCGGCGAGACAGTCGGGGAATTAACAGGCTCTGATGAGCTCCGCGAAAACCTGGACTGACGAACAGCTGCCGATGGGTCTGCGGACCAGAACCGTCCTGTAGGAATGGGGAAGAAGGAGAGGCACCTTGGAAGACCAAGAGGAATAGGCAAGTTCCTCGGTCAAAGGAAACTCTCTATGACTCGGTGGCACGGGATGGCAGCCATTACGGCTGCCACGAAGCTGGGGCAACCGGATTAAGCATTGAGCAGGAGTGATGAATGAAACAGAGTTTTTGGAAGCCGGATGAGTGACAGCCAACCTATGGTTTGAAACAATAAGGAAAACATCTTTTAACTTTAAGATCCCTAGTGATGCAACAGCAGCTAATGAGTGGAGGGGGGGGGGAAGAAAAGAAGATTCTGAAGCGCAATTTTAAAGGGATAAAAACCCAATGGAAAATTGACTTTTGAACAAAACTATTAGGAAATTTTAAATAACTAGAGAAATTGCCCCAAGATTGGTTAAAGGATTGGAAAGAAATAAATAGATCCTTTCTTTTTCCTTTCTTTTTCAAATTTCAAGAAAAAGAGAATGGATAATAAGCTTTAAAACAGAAATGTCATATAAATGAAAGAAAAAAGAAAAAAAGTGAAAAGAGCTGTGTAAATTTGGACTGGACTACAAAACTGATTTGATATTTTTAAAAGCTAAAAAGAAAAAGAGAAGCTAAATAAGATTGTTGATGCAGATTGAAACAAAATGGATACTTGTTTGACAATTGGTAATTGTGGATTGCAGAGAGACACCTTCAGAAGTAAAAAGGAATAATTGCAACTTGGTCTTTGTTTTGGAAAATTGTGAACTTTATAGATAAAATGCCCTGAGAACTTTCAGGGGAGGGTTTCTTTGTCTGCAAGCGGCTCGACTTTGCTTTGATTAAGTTAATGTGAGTTAGCTTTCTATAAGATGGTAATAGTTGAGATATGAGATAAGTGTTATGGCAAAAATAGAATATATAAAATTCTGTTAAAAATGAACAAAAAGTTGAACAAATTTATGACAGGATCAATGCTCTGTTCCCAAAAAGATGTATTGTATGTTTATTTGTATGTTTTAAAAAATAAAATAAAAAATTCCAAAAAGAAGAAGAAGAAGAAGAAGAAGAAGCAATGGATGAAAACTAATCAAGAAGAGAACCAATCTAGAATTAAAGAAAAATTTCCTGACAGTAAGAACAATAAATCAGTGAAACGACTTGCTTCTGGACGTTGTGGGTGCTCCAATACTGGAAGTTTTTAAGAAGAGATTGGACAACCATTTGTCTGAAATGTTACAGGATTTCCTCCTTGAGCAGGGAGTTGGACTAGAATATCTTCAAGATCCCTTCCAACTCTGTTTTATTCTGTTAATTACATGCAACAGTTCTAAAAGAGGTTAAGAGAGATCAAACAGCTTCATCTGAAGGAATAAACTGTAATCCATGACTGGAAAATCCAATCATATAAATCTATTCAAGCAATTGCTCTTTTCAAAACACATTTACTTTTTTGAAATGAAATATTATCTCAATGTTTCACTATAATTTATTACTATGCCATATAGTAATAATACTAGCAGTATTTTGAGAGAAAATATGAGAAATTGTAGTTTTTTTTACTTCTGCTTTTCTGAGAGTAAGATGGTTACATTCATATTAAATTTCTAAATTAAACAGTGATTCCTTTTTCCATATGAAGCCATACAATGAGTTTCACACTACAGATAGTCCTTGAGGTATGACAGATAACTTAACGACCATTTAAAGTTCAACAAATGCCCCAAAACTACATACAACTCTGTTTCAAAGTTACAACAGTTGCAAGAGTCCTCTCAGTCATTTGCCCTTGGACAATGCACCCACTTCTCTCCCTCTCCCATCCCCCCCTGTGCTTGGGTCTTTTCCCCATGCCTCCTGGCAGTCAGACAGGGAGCAAAAAGTTTTTCAAAGCTTTCCAAACTGTCTGGCTCCCTTTAAAACCCAATTCATTTAACATTTGTCATGTCTTCCAAACATAATGGACAGACTCCATTACAGTCATAACTCACCTATCTGTAATCAGCTGCATATTCTCTACATACATAAAATCATGTACATAAGTATGAGCATAAAATCACAAGTACGTGATTTCTATAACTGGTAATAGATTAGTCAGTTGCTTGTCTAAAATCTATAGTATGCTCTAACTGTTGCCTGTGGTATGGTAGGCCTTTTAAAGAAACATAACCAAATATGGGCTCAGATTTGCTTCATTCATTTCACTTAATTTGAAATGAAATGATTGTAAGGGAGCTGAAATCAATTCATATTTTTTTAAATGCAGGATTGGATCAGCATATTACATTGAAAAGATTTGGGAATGGGAACCAGGTGAACAAGTGCAACAAACAAACAAACAAACAAACATTTTGCAAAAGCAAAATGGATATTTTTGCAAAAAATTTTTAAAGTTAATTACAAAAATTCTTTATCAACAATACAAACAGATTCAAAAAGAAACACAGTATATCCAGCTGGCACAGGGATATCCATCTAACCTATGACCCCAACTTCATGACATATTGCTTGGTGTTCAGAAAAATCAACACCTGTGCTTGCATCCCAGTTTTTGGGTATTATCTCTTGCTGCCTCTCCTTTCCTTCCTCACGCTTCAGTCAATCTGCCCAAAATTTCACTCAACACTTTAAATGTCTATCCATCTGTAACAGGACACAGTTGCTTCCTGAATTATACATAATATGAATCATCTCTCTTTCCATACCAAGTTAGGCTAGAATAGCAAAGCACACACACAGACACACACACAGACACACACTTGTACAATCCCTCCAGTAACATTCTATGAGACAAACTATATTTTTGTATTTTTCTATCTTGTCTTGAAACTTTTTTTAAAAAACAGGGAACTATCATAAGCTTGCAAACCAAAAGGATAAGAGACACGAGGCATTACAATACAGGACAAAATGGGAGAGAATTACCAATTTTTCAAGGCCATAATCAGGTGATAAGTTATAAATGAATATTATTCTCAAATGGTCAACTTTTTGCTTGTATGAAGCATGTTTATATGAAGATGATGGAACAGGCTGAATGTATGAACTTGTTACCCATTAAGCATTTTGCTTAAAGTAGTGAAGGCTAATATGCTGATTTTAGTAGCCTATTCATTTAGGGCACTATTATTTGTAAAACTGGATAAAGAATTTTCATCACAATTGCTGATTAAAACAAAATTATGCTGATCTCATAATAAGGAGAGGGAATTCTTGATGATTCTCTTTAACTCCCATCTTCTCTTTTTTAGAAATCGCATGTCTACATAAAAGCAGCACACTGTGGCGGGGTGAAATTCAGCCGGTTCTATCCGGCTGGGGCAAACTGGTAGCAGCGACTGTGGGAGGCTCCACCCACCACGCCGATGTCAGGATGTTGCTTTTTTTGCGATGAAGTTCCCCACCATGTAGAAATAAAACCTTCATTTAAGACCCAATCCAGAGGCTGTGATAGCTTGTACAGAACAGGGGTGGTTCTAAATTTTTTTACTACTGGTTATGTGGGCGTGGCTTATTTTGTGGGCGTGGCTTGGGGGGGTCATGTGACTGGATAGACGTGGCTAGCCGGTCATGTGACCGGGTGGCCATGGCTATGTGTATAGGGACTACTCAGAGGGCTGAAAAAAGTCATTTCTGACAGGTCCTCGCACTTATGACTGGTCCTCACACTTATGACCATCCTCACATTTATGCCTGTGCAGCATTCTTAACAACCATGTCACTCATTTCACAACTGCTTCTCTTCACCATGGTGACAAGATAGGCAAAAAACGTAAAATGTGAGGACAGTCATAAGTTCGAGGACTGGTCAAAAGTGCGAGGATCAGTCAAAAATAATTTTTTCAGCCCTCTGAGTAGTCCATATGCACAAAAGGATAAAGCAAAAGGAAATTAGAGTAGGAGTGAGGGTAAGAGAGCGAAGAAGAGAGGAGGAGAAGGAGAAAGGAAGAGGAAGTAGGGAGGAGAAGAAGAGGGTGGGGGGAAGAGAAAGTAAGAAGGAAAGAAAAGAGAGAGGTGGTAGGTTTGAGAAGAAAGATTGCTGTACAATAAAAAAGATGAAAGGGAAGAAAGGCAACCCCAAACAAATATAAAGATATTAAGATAAAGAAGGAATTGTTAAACTTTAAAGAATAAAAGAGAACAAATATGAATAAATAGCAATAATTAGAAACACACATACAAACATACAATGTATTTTCTTTGAACAGAGTATTTGGCCGGTTCACAAATTTAAACAGTGTTTAGTCATTTCAATTAAATTTACAATTTCTATATTTCCTTTTTGCCATATTTATTCCTCATCTATTTTTTTTTAAAAAAAACAGTATTACCCTTCATTCTCATCTCTAATCTTAATCAAATTCAATTTTTCCCTTCTATTCTATATTATATCCCTTCCCATTGTCATCTATTTTTATATCCATCCTCACATTGGTTAATTATGCAATATTACAGTTGTTTAATACAAATTCAACATTTTAATATAAATCAATTAGTTATATAACTATCTTTTTGTATATTAATCAATATGAACATGAATATTCCAATTATTTCCATGCAATCCAATTTCTTACAAATCAATTAATTATATTTACCAATAATAATAAACCAAATAATTTCCCCCCTATATTCCTCCAAACCTCCAATTCCTCCATTTCTGCTTTCAACACAATATACAATTAATAGTATCTCAATTATTACAATTCCCTAGTTAAATAGAGCTTTTTTACTTTTGTGTTTTAAAATCTTGAACTCTCCTCTTTTGCCCTAAATTTCCCATTGTTTGCACCTACCTTTTTTGGTGAGCAAAAAGAAAAAGAAATCTCTCCCTGCCTCATTTTGTCATGTTGCAGCAGAGCCTGCTTTACTTTCAGTTTCGTTTTTTCCCTAGCATAGCTACTCATTTGTTTTCTTTTAACACTGATAAGCTGTAGGGCGGCCCTTTGAAGCCCCACAACAAGAGTTTAAACAGTTTTTTTCCCTCTAGCCATCAGCTGGGAGTCAGGAGGCAGCAATAGATTGGGAGTGGGGCCAAATAAAGGGTAAGAATAACGCGGGGGGGTGGAGGGGCGGGGGGGGGGGAGAACCGGTTCGGTGACATCATATCGTCACCGCTACCGGCTCGCAGGAACCGGTGCGAACCGGAAGCAACCCACCACTGGTACAGAACAAGTATAATGTTTTTGACTCATTTGTTCAATTGGTTCTCTTTATCCAGTTTTAGAACTTGTGGGATTATGTTTTAATTGATATTTATGCAGAAATATTAAATATTCAAAAAAGATTGCAAATTTTAAGTACTATTATTTATATAAATATAGGACCAAATTTATGAAATTGCTTGCCATAGAAAAGTGTCAAAAATGAGAAACCATACGTCTAAAATGTTTAAACAGATCAAGGATATAGCAATTTTCTATCAATCAGTTCAGACAAGACAATCAGTGAACATTGGACATACCCAGAAAAAAAAATCACTTCCATTTTTTTCCCAAAATTATCAACCTACTTTGATTATTTTCTGGCCATGTAACTACAGCTGCTTCCTCTAATCAAAAAATCTACAGACAACTTCTTTCAAAATCTGCCTCAGTGGACACAGATGATTTTTTGTTTGTTTGTTTTAGAAAAAAGATAATTGCTGCCTTCCCTAATTCTGCAGTTTCAAACCATCCATTTAATTAGACAAAATTGCATGATCTTTGAACAGTTGTTTTAAAGAAATTCCTTAACAGAAATAGCCTTATGTGTTATATTTCTTCAATAACTTCTTATGCGCTACTACCAGAGCTGTTAACAAGCTGTAAACAAGCAGGATATTAGAATATTAAGTAAGAAAAGCCTTTCTTATAGGAAACTACAGTGTTTCCTCAAAAATAAGACCCTGTCTTATATTTTTTTGAACCCTGAAATAAGCGCTTGGCCTTATTGCCATGCATTCATCAGCTCGATTGGGCTTATTATCAGGGGATGTCTTATATTTGTGAAAATAGGGTAATACAAAACTTCCAGATGAGAATTTTCTTGTACAAGCCTTCTGCCTTGCTCAGAAAATTTAAAGGAGAGTCAGATGATGTCACCTCCAGTTTGAAAACTTCCAGGATAGTATTTTCCTATCATTGCTTTTACTTTTTTTTCTTCTCACTGAAAATCATTTAAAAGGAAAGAGACAGAGAATGGAATGGACAGACAGGCAATAGATGTACAGTACTTACTAGGAATATTAGAAGCTGTCAGCCTGGAAACATATGAACAGTAATGTATCTTGAGCTATTGTTGTTTGCACACTATTGCCCTAACCTTTTTGAGAGTGAAAGTATTAACAAACAATTGCTACCATCAGCCCCATTGTTTATGCAAGCAGTAAGAAATGCCATTACTTTTGGAATTCAGTTGGAAAATGTAATTATGGATATAGCGCTTAGGGGAATTTTGTTTCTTCTAAAGCGAAGCAGGGGACAGCAAGTACTGTAAAAGAAACAAGATAAAGAGCACTCACCTTAGAAGAACTACATTGTTTGACATAAAGGCGCCAATTGTCACATCTAGAAAAAAAGTGTATAGCATTTAGAACAAGCATGATTCCTGGCCTCCACAAATTCAAATGAACAAAAGCAATTCAATCAGGATCTTCTCCTGAAATATAATTTTTCAGGACAATACATTCCTGAACATTCTCCTTATATCAATATGTAAGATATATTTTCATTACAAAATGAAAATATATCTTACAATCAAATTGACTCATGTCAAGAAAGGAATAAAGACGATATAAATAATGTTTGGTTATTAAGTTTATCATAGTTTAATTCACCATCCAGTTACTAAGCTGCAATATGAATAGCTTCTATGTTTCTCAGAATTGATCCTAGGAGACCAAGTTTCATGATTTGTGAATATACAATTACTGCTTATCTTTTTAAAGTTCATGTCACTTACATTCCTTGATTTCTACTATTGTTTTCAGATCTGTTTCAAACTTAGTGTAGTCCAACCAACTTCCCCCTTTGCCCTAAATTATTGAAAACATGTTTATTGTATCAAGTAAGCACATTTTAATGCAAATGAAAGAAAATGAAAGTATATGAATCCTTGACTCTTTGCTTCCTCCATTAATTTTATCACTTTATTTGCATTAAACCGACTGTCATTGCCTACCTGGATAACCATTTTCATCCATATCAACTTCTCCAGAAATGGACTGGCCAAACATCTGCAACCATGGACTTAACATCCTTCCAGATATCCTCTGCAACAAACAATTCAGAACTTAAAAACACAATATTTATGTTTTATATACTTGATAAGATTCACTGCAAATTTATCTATGGATAGAATTGAGCTGATTGGTTGTGAACCATGTATTATCTCCAAGTTATACAAATGAGAAAGATTATTTAAGTTACGGGGCATGAGCATGGCTAGTCTAGTGAAGAGAAGGACCAGGGGAGACATGATAGCCGTCTTCCAATACTTGAGGGGCTGCCACAAAGAGAAGGGAGTCAAGCTATTTTTCAAAGCACCCGAAGGCCAGACAAGGAATAATGGATGGAAACTGACCAAGGAGAGATTCAACCTAGAAATGAGGAGGAACTTTCTGACAGTGAGAATAATCAACCAATGGAACAGGTTGCCTTCGGAAGCTGTGGGAGCTTCATCACTTGAGATTTTCAAGAAAAGATTGGACTGCCATTTGTCAGAAATGATGTAGGGTCTCCTGCTTGAGCGGGGGGGGGGGTGTTGGACTAGATGACCTATAAGGTCCCTTCCAACTCTGTTAATCTGTTACACAGGCATGTATATGTGTTCATACACTGATATCAATGTCATCATGCATATTTTATTTATTCATTTAATGTATATGTGGCCCATCTCAATGCCAAGAAATACTGATGGCTTACAACATTATAAAGCAAAAATATTAAAGCATTAAAGCATTCAATATTAAAAATGAACAAAAGTTAGTTAAGTTAGGGACCAGTATACAAATGGAGTAGAGCTGGGATCTTCATTTTTTTTTTTTTTTTTGCTTTAATTTATATGCCGCCCTTCTCCGGAGACTCAGGGCGGCTTACAATGCATTAAGCAATAGCCTTCATACTTATATTTATACAAAGTCAGTTTATTGCCCCCACAATCTGGGTCCTCATTTTAACTACCTTTGAAAGGATGGACAGCTGAGTCAACCTTGAGCCTGGTGAAACTTGAACTTGCAGTAAATGCAAGCAGCAGATGTTAATAACAGTGCTTTAGTCCACTGTACTACAGGCTCAGCTTCATTCATTACAGATTCATTAACAATCTCTCCATTAACCACATCAAGCGTAGATGTCTCCATCAGGACGGCAGGCCAACTGGTAGAGCAGGCTTTGAGGCTATCCCAAAAGTGCTATTTCAAAAGGCAACTGGACTTTTTTCCTTGAAAATAATTCACTTCTTGACCAATAGCGTCAAGACGCAAAATTTTCTATTCTCAACTAAGGCATCACAACTGTATCTAAAGCATTAATACTAAGCCTCCTTTGTTTGAGAGAAGTAATAGATTTTTTCTTTCTTTCAGAGAAGACTTATACTGCTGTATTATATTGCATAAATCAGAAAAGATTGAGCGTATATCCCATTGAACAAATTGTTGGCTCTTCTTCCCCACTTGTCCAATAGTGATGATTCACTGTTCACCTTTAGTTCCATAACATTACAATTAATGGGCTTGTTAGATTATACAGGTTCCAGTTATGTTGAAAAATAACAGTAGTGTCTTGCTACAGGGATGAAAAAATAAGGACAATTAATATATCTTTAAATTTAATCATATAGGAACTATCTTTGCAAGGAAGTCATTAGGTCTCTGATTCCTATTCTATTGATCCAAAACTTGCAATGCAGATGTTCAGGTGTAACCAGCTTCTGCTCATCCATAAAAGAAACCTTACTGGAGAACATTGTCCATTCTATAGGAGATTGATATTTCTTTGTAAGAGATGGGAATGCAATGTTCTGCATTTTTGTTTTAGTGTATCCATTTTCTACTGGCAAAATGAAACTCTAAATATAAAGGACAATAGCCCTTCCCATTGTCAGATGGGAGAAATGGGGAGGGGGAAGCTGCAGATATAAAAGAGGGAGAAGGAGCTTATAAATCTTCTGTTCCAAAAAAAGTTATAAAGAAAATGTTGCCACTTTTGAAAATGAAGGCAACAGAAAGCAGCTGGACTCCTCAAATTACATTTACACAAGAGAATGTGGCTTGGATTTTACAGGGGTCCCCATTAGGGTGGTAAGAACAGAGCTATGCAATACATATCCCACAGACATCTGCAGGCTATTAGGATATAAAGGTTGAAGAATAATTCTACACATCTTGGAGAGCTGCAAATGAAAGCAAGGGCCGCAAAACTGAGCTTGATAGTATTTATTTAATAGAGACCCTTATCTGCCAGCTTCTTAAGATATTTCAGATATGCCCAGGATTTTGCAATATCATTTGCTGTATCATTTGCTTTGTAAAATTTTATCACAGCATCTGTAACTAAATGCCTCTTTCATCATAATACACAACAGTTGTGTATTGTGTGTGTGTGTGTGTGAGAGAGAGAGAGAGAGAAGGGAGGGAGGGAGGGAGGGAGGGAGGAAGGAAGGAAGGAAGGAAGGAAGGAAAGAAAGGAAAATGTTTTCCAAAATCCATAGCATCTGGATGGTTTAGCAACCAGGCCCAAAACCTTTCACCCCAAAGTTACTGGTTCAAATAGATGCCAGGTAAGCAGACCTTACAAACTAAACATCTAAAACTGTTTGATGGATTTGTGAGGCAAATAAATGGCTGACCTACAGCCCTGGTCCATGAGAACACGACAAAGCAATATAATGCAACATCAGAAGCCTGAGGCAAAAAAGAGAGAAAGAAAAAAATGAGATCACAGACAAAAATGGAAAATTATGGGCAAGAACTTTTTCTAAAAACCCAAAAGATTCAGTGGTTATTTTAACTGTTTACCAATATTAAGCTCTCTTTGTATAAAACTCTTAATATTGCCTCAAATGTGAAAAAAAGCAAACACTATTTCCTCTTCTATATGCAGATATCCTCAGCCAAACTAATATTATCCATCTGAATCAGTTCTGATATTTCCACTCTCCTCTCCATGGACAGAAATAATTGACCATGCAGCACAAATTATCACTTTCACAAACTATCATAAAAAGGAATTTAGCATATGTTATTGTGTTTCAAAGGAGAGTTAATGCATTCTAAAACAGTCAGCAAACAGCAGAACTAATCATCTGCAGACTTCTCAAATGATCTCAGAGGCAATCACTAACCTCTGACTTAGCATCCCTCAAAAACCCCCACCCAGCAACAAAGAAAAATATTTAGATCAGTACTTTAAACAGCTGGATAAAAAAAATAAGTCTTTTTTTCCCCATAAACCCTTTTGAAACCAAAATGCAACACTAACCAACTTGGGGCAAAAGTCTCATATTGTGATTTAGTAACATGTATTCTGAAAAATCAGTATTTATTAAAAGAAGCAGAATTGGTTTTGACTTCCACTATTACAGCCAAGAATCTAAGATGAAAGCAATAGAAAAACTTTCTGGAAAGGGATTCATAGAAAGAAAATATAGTGGAATAGATATTAAATCAAGTTATTGTTTTCCTTATTTTAGCCCATAAAATCTTGCTATGGCATGTTATTTATTTTTATTTATTTATAACACACTTTTATTATTTTTACTAATAACTCAAGGTGGCAAACATATCTAACACACCTTCTTTCTCCAATTTTCCCCACAACAAACGTATGAGGTGGGTTGGATTGAGAAAGAGTGACTGGATCTAAATCACTCAGCTGACTTTCATGGTAAGGCAGGACTTGAATTCATAGTCTCCCACTTTCTAGATTGGTGCCAAGGACTTGAAGATAAAGCATGAGATTTTAAGATGAAATAAAAAAATATATACTTATGTCCTTTCTCTTTTCTCTCTCTTTTTTTTATTTTGGGCTTGGGAGTCTGGGTATTTTTTGCCTTTATTTCTGCATAATGAAGAAAAATAATTAATTAATCATTTTTAATTCCACTGGATAAATCTTGAAATGAAAGCTTGAAATAACAGTTTAACTTACATAAACATATGTGATCAATATTTTCAATGACTCTCTCATGTTGGGAGTATCATAAGGGGAGGAACTGTTACAAACCACTATGTAGTGTCAATGTCAATGGCAGATTACTGACAACAGCCTCTCAAGTACATATTTAATTTAAAGCCCTATTTCACATTTTATTGTAGGAGAAGGACTCCAATGCCAAGTGAGAGATGAAAAGAGGGATCAGAGGAGAATCATTGCTGTAGCCACAAGTGAACTAAGTCCAACTTCCCCCCTTGATTGCTGATGACCCATATCTAACCAGGTTCTGACCATTCCTTGAGAATATTCCTATGCATAAGCTTTTATAGGATTGCCAATATGATCGCCAACGTCTGATGATGGATATGGCACAAGAAGAAGAAGGATAGGCTTTTTGCAATAGCTCGGTTAAATCATGTGTGGACCTGATCTTTTAAGCAATAGGCCAATCTTAACTTTTAGATCTGTCCTAATTTAGTACTTACCATGGAATATCGAGGAATGATGCCCCCAATGTATCCATGATAAATATAAACTGCTCCTGCATAGTCGTCTTCTTTAGGAGCACCAATGGCAACATCTACAAAAGGCCAAACAATATAAGAAGTGAAGGTAAATTCTTCTAGTTCTGAAGTTTTCTTCAGCCTACCTTCTTTAACACAAAGATAGGAGCAACTGGCTTAGTGGCAATGTAATTTGCAGAATATTACTTCATCTTATAAACACTGGATTTCTAAAATTAAACCCTCAGATTTGAATTTCACCTAAAAAAAAACATGTGTTTAGTTTCTATAAATAATACCAATTATGCACAGGAGAATACTTATCCATCTCGGCTTGCTTGCAAGACAGATCTTAGGTAATGGTAAATAAATCTATGAATTGCATAGAGAATATAATTCCCTACCACATAGCCAATCCACAGCATAATCTCTGACAAATTGTTTTCAAAATGTTCAGGCCTTCAAAACATTACGATAATGCAAATTAATTGGATATGGGATTCAACATACAATCTAAATGTATGTTTTTTGTTGTCATTTTGTTTAGGCGACATACATTTAGATCATTTAAGCTAGTTCAGATTGTATTTATTAACACATTGAGAAGTTGGTTAAAAATCACAACTGGAAATTTTAATCAATAGAAAAAAAACTACCTTTAATTTAACTAGCAGGAGCCAATTTTAGTTGCATGTGTTAAGGTAGATTCAGGGTTATGTATAAATTATTTCTAAACTAGTTTTTTTTTTTCATGGTCCCTGTTTTTTTTCTATTCAGCTCCCATTATAAGAACTGCCCAATCATTTAATCCAATTCAGCTTGAAGTTGCTTACTTGACTCTCTTTACTACTGTTTGTCCCTTTTAGAGCATTTAGACTGCATTAGGGAAAATCAACTTCTTTCAAAAATTTGAGGTACAGTGTTGAAAGAAATTAATTTATTTCCAACACCAGAGATTTAAAAAAGGAATCCTTGCTTTCCTATTTTATTTATACATACATGAGGCCCTTGGACATGCTTAGACAATAAATATTACTCTTAAGCCAAAAATATACCCCAGTGCACTTGTCTCTTCATTATATCAACAAATTATATACATACAATTATGATAGTTCAATATTATTATATGTACTCTGTAAATACCAGATCTGTCTTGCTAAAGCAAGAAAGAACAAGACCTGGTGCAAAAGAAAATATACTGACCTGGAAATCCATCATCATCAATGTCCCCAAGGGATGCCATGCTTTCCCCGAAGTGTGCATTGTAGGCGTTATTGCCATCCAGAACACGTTGCTCTTCCATAACTCCCTAGCAAACAGGAAATAGGCCAGGCTAAGAAAAATAGAAGCTAGTGTTGAAAGATGCATGACCTCTGGTGCTGGAGGAATCTCATATATATATCCTTCAGGAAACACCTGGAACATATCTGGGGGTAAGCTTCCTGAACTTCTGACCATATGCTTCAATCAGTGCAACTACTCAGATATTATAGAGAGGAGATCAGTATAAATTTAAAAAGTACTTAATTGTTCCTGAAAATGGAATCACTGGATTGAATATCACTGCAAAGACCAATACATGGCAAATCTAATTTCTCAAAATCCAAAACACAGAAAAATCTCATAAATATAATAATAATAATAAATTTATTTACGGTCACAGACCAAAATGCAAGCATAGCTACAGAAAAACATAGGAAAAAGAACATCATGAACAGCCGGCCAGTCCATTTCTGGAGAAGTTGATATGGATGAAAATATCAAAACCACCATATGCGTTATTGCAAAAAGCTAAATAGCTAGCAAAGTATAATGTTTCTATATGTTCAAATGAACAGCAAAATCTTCCATGATCACTGGAACTGGGACAGATAAGTCAGTTCAATTAGTTTTAAAATAACTGAATTAAACATGTTAATTCATCAACAGCAGAAAAAATCTATTATTATTTTTTTGTTTAACCGCCAGTGAACCATACTGATGTCACAACAGGATTGTTTTAGAATAAGTATTCCCTTTTCTGTATAGCAAAACAGGGAATTGTAGTATTAACAATAGCAGTAGGTATGCAACTATGTAAGAATATAGTTAATCAGGATTTCTTTAACAATGAAAGCCTTGAAAACAGACTACCCTTTTTAGGACACTAAAACATGTAAACACCAACTGGCAAATCCTTCAGAGATAGAATATAAACAATATTGTATATTTGGCAAAGCCTCAGATGCAAAGTGCCAAAATATTTAGCATCATAAAAAACAAGCAAAACACAAATCCCAAGAAATAATCAAGTGGCTTCAAATAATAGAAGAGACATTTTGACTAAATAGTAGCATGAAATTTATGATTTACCAGAAGTAATCTGGAAGGCCATCTACTGGTAGTTGTAACTTTCCTGTAAAAGCAGGGGTTGAACTAAATGACTTTTGTAATCCCTTTCAATTCTAGGATTCTATATATAATAAATGAGATGCATAGGTTTTGGAGACGTGTTCCACTAATCTAAATTTTCCAAACCATGGATTTCTAATCTGAACTTCTACCATGGTTACATGCATGTTTCACTACAGTCTCTAACTTGTAATATAGGTGCCATTTGTGATGGGCAAATTCCCCTGATCTCAATTTGGAACAGAGCATAGAAAATTAAGTCAGTAAATAGCTGTCCCATTCTAAATCTGAAAATTCCTGTCATCAGGTATAACAATGGGCTTAAACATTAAACATATCCAATCTTGAAATTCCCCGTTCCCACTGAGAATCTGTAAGTCTTGCTCTACCCATCAATTTTCCAATACCAGCAGGAAAAGAGGCCTCTTTGAAAATCTTTGTGGGAATTTACTTCTGGTTGACGTCGCAGCGCTATCGAACGCGAAAAGCAGGGCTCCGCTGTTCTGCCCCAGCTCTGGATTCCCAAGGATTGTGACACACACCAACGGTTCTTATCAAAGTTATAACGTACCAAGAATAAACAAAGTCCAGCAAAGGTTGGCAACCAGCCCAGAAAACAAGATACGATAAGACACTCACTCTCCAAAATGCTCCGTAATAATTACACGTTGTTTCCAACAAGAAATTACTAACTGCGTACGACTGAAATAGGCTAAGGGAGTGGCCAATTAGCCTCAAACCTTACTCTCGAGGAGACCTCCTCCTCCTGAGTAGCCACTCCTGCCTTTTGGCACCCCTGCGTGCTCGAGCATTGAGGAGAGGCTCCTCCACTTCGCTCTCTCCACTTGAAGGAGCCACTGGGGGTTCTGAAGGCCCAGGCTGAGTCTATGCCTCTGGCATCACATCCTTTTCAGCCTCCTCGCTGTCCGACGTGAGTGCCGGCTGTGCAGGCTGCTGGCGTGACCCCATACCAGCCTCCTTGTCGTCGGGATCAGCCATGATCCATGCAGACTGCTGGCAGGCCACAACATCCGCAAACTTGTGCTGAATCCCTTCGTTGGAGGGCCCCATAAGGGGCTAAAGTCACCCTGTAGGGGTAACAAAGAGTGGAGGGGTGTCCTGAAGGTCACGGAGAGTGGCAGCTCTCCTGCTTGATCCAGAGCTAATTCCCTCTCATCTGAGAGGCCTTTATGGCTTCTATGAAGTTGGGGCAGCTGAAAAAACAAAGACTGTGCTTGAGTGATGTGGATGAACAGTGACTGGAACTGGGTGAAGTAACTATTTTTTTTACCTGAAACCTATCCTAAAAGAAATAAACTCTGGAAAAAGGACTCTTTGAAGAGTTTGTTTAAGCGGCAAACAATTACAGAGAGAAAAAGCATAGACCCGAAAGAAAAGAAAAGGATATAAGAAGAGAGCGCAAAACCTTTAAAAGATTGGATGTCTAATTTTTATTGGCAGTAAGGCATTTTAAAATGCTGGAATTACTTGTCAGAATTTTGATTATTTGTTTGAATAAATGCAAACAGAACTTGTTAGAATCAATGCAACGTTGAAGTTAAAGGAAGGTGCCATCTATTGGTGAATAGAATACATTATATTCCTACAACCCTGAAAAAAATACTGATAAGAAGATGAGAAAGTGGAAATAACACCTGGAGGACTGCTGTGCTATCTATTGCTTTATACTTATCTATTCCATGACTACTGGAGATCTAACATTGAAAATACAGAAGACATCTAAGTAAAGTGACTTCTAAATATCAGGAGTTATGATTGAACTTATAGTGGGAACTTAAGGAGATATTTGGAAATTTTCCTGGATTACCTAAAAAGAGCTAAATTGATTAACTGTGGGACATAAAGAACCATATTACTGTATTTCCAGAGGAGCAACATCAGGACTGAGTAAATGGTTTCCAGATCGACTTTCTGAGGGCAAAAATAATTGAGACTCGGGGCACTGATAGAGCATTGACAGACTACTGAGCGATATTTGGACTTATCAAAAAAGAAGGCAAGATGTTTCAGCAGAGAGAAATAAGTGGGTTGAAAAAAGAATTGGTGGTGATGTTTCAAAGCATTCATGATACTACAACAAGGAATCACAGGGAGATAATGGACTTAATGAATAACATAAGGGAAGTTAGAAAGTGCTCCACAAGCAATAATGAATAATGATAAAAAAGCCCAGGAAATAGAGGAGATGATGGAGAGACAGGGGAAAAGACAGAACTAAATAAACAAACGAAACAAAAAGATAAGAGGGAGAAGGTAATAAGAACATATGAAGCAATTAAGAGAAAATACATGCTAAAAGACGAAAAGATATCTTTGAAAAGAAAATGGAGAGTTGGGCAGATCCGCTGGAGGTTTGGCAATAAAAGATAGTAGAAATGGAAGAAATACTTAAATTAAACAGGAAAGATGTAGATAGAGAAGAAGTCCCAAGGGAGGAATTTGGGAGGCAAGTCAAAAAATGAATAAGAATTGAAATATTAAAACAGGCAAGAGATGACAGATAGAGGAAATGTTTTGTAACACAAGAATGGCTTTACTAGGAGCTAGAATAGATGCAGACACAAGAAATAGGGGAAATACTATTATGCATATTTTTAATATAATATATTAAAAGTAATAGCTAGATATAAAGAGAGGTTGAAAGATGGTGATATTAGAATGGGGGACTAAAATTTTGAACAATTAAATAATGAAGGCTTATATTTTAATACAAATATATATAAGAATATTATTACAATTACATAAGTATGATTTAAATAACAAATATTAATACTATCATTAATACATATTCAAATGAATGAAACCCAGATGCCTCACTGTTCATGTATTGATATTGATATATATTCTTTTAAAAAAGAAATATTTGTGGGAATTGGCATCCCTCTCTCTCTCTTTCTGATAATATGATATTAGGACATTCTGAAGGCTCTGGGGATCCCTCTGGAGCTCCTTCCATTTTCAGATTTCCTACTATTGTCATGTCCTAAGAAATAAAATTTCACATAAGCTTCCAGTAAAAAGTAATAAGGTGCAAGAGGCAGGAAACAGGAGGAAAGAAGACAATCCAGATCTGCATTCAACTTGGGAAGGAGAAATTTACTCTGATGTACAGAGTCATATATGTCACATTGCTTATTTTGCAACCTACATGTAGATGGTGCAGCATTGTCTGGTTCTTTGACTAGGACATTTACCTCCCAGTTGCCCATAATTATATAAATACCTTCCCCAGGGAATCAATTTCATTTTACATTGAAAAATTTTTTTTCAAAAAAAATCAAGACTCCAAGGAGTTGTGGGAGGCAAAGTATGATGGGAATGAAGTGAAGTTACCCAGGGAAGATTTTTCAATCTCTATTGGTTTTTCAAGACTTAACCTGAAGAGGTACAGTATATCCAACACAGGCCTATCTATTTCAACCATTATTTTGGTCTAATTTTGTTTAAAAAATAGAAATGAAAACTCCTCAGAATTGTCATTTCTTTCACCAAATATTGTCCTAGAAAGGGGGAGAGAAGGGATGTTCTTTGGTGGCTACAGGATCAACATGTAATCTGTGGAGTATTTAATCAGACAACTTCTCTCCACCTGGCACTTTCCAATTGCATTCCCAATATTGACTGGGAACTTTGGTAGGGTTCCAAAAGATGGAGAAATAACCACAGAGAAGAAGCATTCTATCAGAATTAAAATTATAAGTGCATATTCTATATGTTCTTCAGGTACTAAAAGGTTTAGAGCTCAATCAGACTTCCCATTAAGGGATAAGATATTAAACATTCGCAGCGAAGCCCACATAGAATCCTCCTTCCGACTTTACCATTTGTTGCAAAAGAGTCGGGAATAAAGATAATCTCATTAAAATAATTCCTTTAAACTATGTTTTAAAAGAGATA